AAACGTGAATGATAAAACAGCGTGATCGCTATTCACTTAGGGGGAAGAATATTTAGGTTGGCAATATCCTCAGTCTTATGAGTGATTACCAAGTCCAACAGAGAAGAAACTTGGCTTACACCAAAACGTGTAGGTATGGATACATGATGTACTAATGCAAGCTCCATTACTGTTTCCAAGATCCTGCTATCAAAGGAGTTTATAGATCTTTTAGTGGCCTCTACATGGAAGGTTATCCATGTGTCAAAGGAACGTTTGGTCTAAGCTGATTGATAGTTGAAGAGGATGCGTGACACGAGGTACCCACTCGTGATCTGGTGCGAATGCGTAGCCGAGCGCCGTTAGTTAGGTTAGTCTATTAAAACCAGTGTGGTCAGCATCAAGTGTTGAAGACTTACAGAGCTATCGAGTTTGGGGATTTATTTACTGCTACGACGGCATCAAGTAAGTTTTATAGCATACCATCTGGTCATGCAATAATTTGTCATGATCCTATTACTTGATATTCCTAATAACCACAAATATCTCAATTTCAAAGTCGCATTATTGTTCATTTCTAGTTGTTTGTACCATCCCGACTTCTCTTCAAATTCGCTTCATAACCAACCGTTTTTCGTATACTTAACATTAAATAATGTTTTGGGGAGTAACCAAGTAGTAATGTAGTTTGTTATCTGGCAGTTTTCAGTGGTGATGGTAAACTTGGTGTAGAAATAGTAAAACGTCAAACTAGAAATACAATGATACATTTCTGCCAGGTCAGGTGCACGCCATTTTTAAAGACATGATCTACAAATCACATTATTTTGCTTACGGTATGCCTTTTTATTAAGGGTCGTTAAATAGATGAAATCAACTAATATAAATAACAGCACATTCGTGCAGATGTATTGGAGAAATGATTAGGTCTGTGCTTTAGTATTATACTCAGTACAGTCTTCAAAATATTTTCCAAAATACCATTTCGTCGACGTTACACACCAGATCCCAACTCCGCATAATCGTGTCAGAATTCTGGTCGTACTCATACTAGTTCTTGTTGTTAGAATGAGATATGATGATAGAATGCAGTAATAAAAACATTGAGTCGTGATATTTAACAAGGTGGATTAGGTTCAATTGAATAAATGAAAGTCAAGGTTAGAATAAGGCAGGCTATTCATTAGAACAGAAGGTGCATCAAGACAGTAAATTGTTAAGAAAACTAATAACTATATCTTTTATTGTATGACCTTTTTAGTTTATTTTTTATCTGATGCCAGCCACACATTCCTAGTGTAAAAGTCCGAGGTAGCATTTTATAAGTTGTCTAAGTAGAATATATAATCCTGCATAAAATCGAAAACATCAGTCTGTATGGTTCGCGTAGGAGAACAACATTAATATCACTGGTCGATTGACTCATTCCCAATCATCATGAATCTTCTGCCTCACAAACGTGGATGTATTGAAGTCATTGCTCTCACCATCAATGCATGCTGGTTAGTAGCTCCACCATTCCTCCTTCTGTGATGTCAGGCCCATTTAAACTTATTTTTGGATGGATATTATACTTTACACGATGCTCTGCGTTTCACATACCAATTCAGGGTGACAGACATGAGTTAAGCAGGTGTTTGGCACAAGAAATTGGTATCACTACCGATGGTAGTGCTTAACGGCCTTACTACTCGCTGCTCAAGGTTGATGAAATTGCTTTAGAAATATGAGATGGATGGGGATCGTCTAGTAGGAATAATGATATTGCACATAAAAGAAATGACTGTAGTTTAGGTTCGAGGAATTAGTGAAATCTGATTTGACTGGGTTGGCATATTTTGATTATGAAAATTTTATTGGTTAAGGAGTTGTCAAACTCCGAGTACTTGTGGCATCTTTACAGTAAACAGCTCAAGGTCCAGTGACTTTCCACTTTCATCTGGGGATGTGCACAGTTTTATTGGTAGCCATGCTGAGCCTCAGTGATATTTCTATGGTCGTGAGCCAGAAATATTCTTCATAAATCCGTGTACATACTCTACAGGATAACCAAATTGTTACCACCACCTAAAAATCTAGTTTTTCCGAGTTGCTCAAGGTCGTCGCGAGTTTGAATTTTCTACAACTGGGTAGTAATCGTCGTTTATATGACGCGTAGGCCGACTCTTGTTACTAACTTTTCGGTTTTATGTAGGTGGAAACCAAAGAGATTTAGCTAGAGAGAAAAATTTGAAAAAACAGAGTGAACAGAGGAAGTCTAAAGCTAGTAGTCAAAAGGATGGAAATAAGGGATTAACTTTGGAAGAAAGACGTTTGAGGTAGGAACGTTATTTGGTTAAACTGTATGTTATAGAGATGCTGAAGCATTGCGAGCAAAACAGCAAGCCAAATCGCAAGCTTCTGTTCCGAAGGCATGAAGTACATGCTTATCGACTTACCAGTTTTTCGTAAAAGGCACAAATAAATATAATGATCAGCCCATATAACTTCGTGTTTTCACTAGTAATAACTAAAATCTCCTCAACCTCTTTGATTGTCGACGAAAATTTCTGACAATTAGTCTCTTTCAATGTGACATTGGTACTTTCAGACACATAAATTTATAGGCGAGATTATAATTTATGGACGACCGTTGAACGACACTAAAGTTGCCTTGAGAATGTACAGCTACTGGCTAGGGCTAAATAAGGGTTTTTAACTAGTGTGAAGGATAAGGATTGTGATTTGCAGTTGGTGGTTAGGGATTAGATTTAGGGTATTCAACACGAACTGACATCATCTTTAATTTCAAAATGCTATTTAGCCATATGGATGAAGAATTCCGTGCCGAAACCCAAGACCTATTGTCGTGAATCTTATTGGTTCGCCCAAAATTATAGTCTTGCTCTGTCATATCTGTGTACAAGTTCAAAGTTAAGTGGCAATTTGTAACAAGCTCTGACTTTTGCTCTCTAAAATACCAGAGATACCTAGTTCTTTATGGACTTTAATTCTCTGTCTACTGTATTGGTTTATGCAGCTTCATCAGGAGCGTTTACGCGCAAAGCATATTACCTCTGGAGTTCATTGTAACCTTCCAAATTTTCTCCCGTATTGCTTTAGTTTTCGTGTGTGGAATTTTATCTGATGACACCATAACCCATCGCTTCTAGGCATGGGAGTTAAAAAAGCATGAGCATGTGGTCTGTCAACAACTATATGAAATTACATATATGTAAAGCAACTAGATTGTAAAAATTGCAATTAAGGGTTGAGAGAATGTTCCTTTGTATTTCCTGTTTACCAGGTCGTGGTCACCAAAGGCCGGCTATGTACATGTCACAACGAAACAGCTTCGGCCAAAAGTAGTTTGCCACTATATGCGTCGTGAATGTCTGATTTCATTCGGTATGCAGATTTATGTAGATATCTTTTTCGTTAAAAGCTCTCCCATGCAGGAGTAGATATTTTGCTTTGAAATAAAAATATTTATGAAGATTAAACTTAAAGAGACAACAACGGTACTGAGTGACGAAAAAAACTACAAAAATTCGAGACCAGGACCAAAAGTAATGGTCTAGAGTAGTAACTTTCATGGTTTCAACGTTTGAGGATGTGATATTAGTACCTTGATTTTGGTTGTATTGCTAGCATTTTGCACTTTCCTCTAGATATTGGGAATATTAATCCTAATTATCATGTCCAAGGTCATACTATATTTTGTAAGGTCACTCAGTTTATATTATGGTTGTTCATTAAGGCTATCTGTCTCTATTGATTTAGTTAATGCCCGTCTCAGATTTAGTTTCTGGCTTTAATATATCCTTTAACTAACTTCATAAAAGTAGTGCTCATACTTGTGAACTTCTACAAACACTTTAATTGCTTAGAGATAATTTTCTTGTAAACACTAACACAAAAGCGTCGTGTATGACTGGTCTGAAGCAGTTGTCGCCTGGACACTACGGCCATGCTCTCAGGTCACTAAGACCACCTCTAACTCGATTTCATTTTCAGGTACTTCTAGGAGAGCCCTTTCACAGTGTGGGCGACCGAAAAGTGATAACCACCCTCATACCTCTAACAACACCCAAGACCACTGACTGACCAAAATCCAGATCCTTTTGAAAGCCTTAACAATATATGTTTTGAGTGCGTCTCCTTTTCAATAAATTTGAGATGCTTGTTCATGGCTGGTTTGTGTCAACGCCTAAACTGTTAGTAGGGAGTGAAGTCGTTGGGCACGTCAGCAATTTCACTCACCTGTAGTTTTATCAGCCTTAGTCGATTGGTATCTAAAAAAACTCTCCACGGATTCAGAAAGTTTGCTTGCTTCTTGTAAACTTGTCACCAGTTACATAAGTGAGACGTCCATCTGCTAACCGAAAAACTTTCCTGCGTAAAAGTCCTTCGTTTTTCTTTACGGCTGTGAAACCTAGCTTTAACAGTAGCGGATATTCATAGGCTATCAGTATGTTTGATCATAGTTGTGTTACAAGCATTGTTCGTATGCGTTGCAAACATCCAATCAACAAAGTTGTGAGGTTAAACACAAGGTATAAGACAATTATCGTAAATTGGTTGGTAAGATTTCTAACCATCAATTGAAGTCGTTGGGACATGTATTACGTATGTTGCAAACATGCTGGTGACCGAATTAAGACCTGAGATCTATGAAACCATCAACTGTTGTGAATTTCCTGGTTTGTGTTTGTACGATAAGTTATATGTAGCTGGTAATTCCAAGACGGAACTAAGTAATTCATAGGTATTTTAACATATTTTCTATGAATTAGCAATACATAAATTGTAAAACGTGCTGTTACCTACGAAATGTAGATTATCCGATGAACAGAGAAAGTTGGTTGTAGCCGTTATTAAACCATAAATATATTTTACAACATAACACAGATTCATTCCCTGAAGAAGCATAAAAGTTACTATAACTAATTGATAAATGTTTCTAGCAATTACTGAACGTTCAGACTATATGCTTTATAACACCTTAATATTATGAATTTGAGTAAGCACAACATAAAGGTACTCAAAACAGCATATATATTCTTTTTACCAAAAAATAAATTATTGGAGCATACAAACAGCAGATTTGAACATAACAATCAGATAAAATAAGAAGGAACTCATTTGGAATTAACAAATCACAGCCTTTGCTTTCACTTATAAAAAGTTGCATTATTTTGTATTTTTACTTAAATAGACACAAGAAAGTCATTCTGCTTGAATAAAAGGTAAGAAATGAAAGACTAAGAGAGATAAGCTGTCCTCACAAAACACTCATAACGTCTGATCACTTTCCATCGGTACTGTTTCGTCTACCACGACGATTTTAGGTTCACTAAAACTTCCATCGTTTATTCTGATATCTTCACTCTTTTCTTTAAACTCGTTTTCAAAATTAAGGCTTATTGATTGTAGTTTCTCTAGTTCGGTCGGTTTTGAAAGAATCTCGCTTTCATCTCTTATCAATGATCGAAACAAACTAATTGGAAGGTACAAATACACATAACCCAGAACAACGGGAATTAAAAGGCCAAAAGTTACGGCTGAAATGTAAATAAAATGATCAACACATTGTGGCCAATTAGCTATCGTATACAAAATCAAAGAGATCAACAAAAAACTGTATAAATACTTTCTATCAAGAACTAAACATTAGACATTGAAGAAATAAAATGGTTCAATATTTCTGATTGGGAAGACTACTACCGAGTCGCACTATAAACATTGTATAGTCTTGGGTAGAACGGTGACAATAGGAATTTTATTACTTGGACCTTGGTATTGTAATCAATCGGTCTTGATACTGCAGTCATCAAATCTACTAAAAATTTTTTTCTATGGCGATGGTAAACATGTCTTGTCGCACTTCATGCTACTTTAAAGTTTAGGCTTATCTAAAGCGGTAAAAGAATCCTTTGCAGAACCTGAATATTTCAACGGAATAACTATATTGCCAAATGGGAAATAAAACCACTCATTTTAATAGCTCAGTAGTTTGCTATTTGGCAAACACCAATTCACTCGACATATCTCCAAATCAGATCACGGTTGAACGGGAAAGAAATTACATTCCAAAATAACAAGGGTAGATGGAAGTAAGAAGCACAATAAGAGATACGTTAGTATGTCTATAGTTTTTACATCAGAAGATTCCAGAGTCTTCTCCAAGTATCGACTAGCACTGATTGGATAGGAATTAGCCAATCAGCGTGCACCGACGAAATCGTGCATGGAACATGCTTTAAACCAATCTATATCCCGCTGACACATTCCCAGAAATCATTCAACGTAAACGAATAATAGTGAAAGTTTCTCAACTTCTACATATAACCAAAGAACGGGTATTAAACTGATAAAATAAGACTCATAATAATTGCATGGCCTCGCGTTCTAATTTCAGTGATAAAATATGTGTCCCTAATAACTTAGTATATTTACCAACACTAAACTGTTGAGTATTGAATACGTTAACAACGATTATATGAGATATTTAGTGGAACTAGTCTTGAGAATATGTATAATTCAAGGATTCGTATGCGCAGACAAACTATACAAGCAAGATGGATAATAACCTTGGCCAAAATCATTCAATTAGTTATGATTTATCTTATATGACCAAATAAATAATTTAGTGTTTTCTTGATCACTTTGCAGTTTTCCTCTATAGTAGTTTCTGCTTCTGTGAGTAAGATCATGTAAAACTTGGAATCTGTTTGTAAAAGCTATCTTGGATTCGTTGAGTTCGTCAGTATCTCGAGGGAAGGCTACATTGAAATTTTGTAAAGCTGTCTCGCCAGTTGTCCATTGGTTGTTTAGCTTCAGTCTCATCTTGGCAACCACCAGGTGGTGATGTGAAGCTATGTCAGCTCCTCTCCTGGCTCTCACTTCTTCCATTGACCTTAATATTTTGGTGGTGGAAATATGGTCGATTTTGTTCTCCGTTGTGTGATCCGGTGAGATCCATGTAGCCTTGTGTATATGTTTGTGCGGGAATATTGTGCCGCCTATAACCAATTTGCTGAACGCACATAGATTTGCAAATCTGTCTTCATTCTCATCACTTTCTCCCAGTCAGTCCATGTCGTCCCATGCTATCTTCATACTCGGTGTTGTCCATTCCAACTTTGGCGTTTCGGTCTCTCATCAGGATGGTCAGGTCCTTTCCTGAGCACTTCGCTATGATCAATTGCAGCCTCTCGTAAAACTGATCTTTATCGTCGTCGTTGCTCTCATTGGTGGATGCATAACAATGGATGACATTCATTGTGATTCCGTCGTTCTTTGTTGTGAAAGGTACTTTGATGATCCTGGGTCAATGAGATTATCATCCTATAAATGCTCTACGTGCTTCTTTGGTCAGCATCAGAACAACTGCGTGTGTGATAAGCATTTTCTTTTTTGTGACTAGAGTACAGCAGCATCTCTCCCGTATCTAACCTTTGTTGTCCAGCTGGAGTTCAATGGGTTTACGGATTTCTAGTACCTCCAAGTTATATCTCCTCATTTCTGTATCCATTAGACTGGTTTTCTCGGTCTCCACATTGTCTGGACGTTCCATGTGCCTATATTAATTATTGCTTCGGTTGTTAGAAGGGACATCAGCCTCGTGACTTCCGAAGAATCTCGGCTTTCATCAAGAGGCGTCATAATTCTTCTAGATGAAGGTCATTCAACTATCAGGACAGAGTTTAAACGGTTTAATATGTTTAATCTGGTTAGCGTTACTTTAGCAAAGTTTTCTTTATAGTATGGAGTTGCTGACCGCATGCCTAACCCTCCTTTTTTAACCGGGCTTGGGACAAGCAGTAACCCGAGGAGGGCTACAGACTCTATACTTAAGCAGGTATGAGGATAATCTCTCTGTCTGATGAACAGTTCATAAAAGTTTTTTTAATATATGAAAATCACTGACAGAAAACCATCACAAATAAAAATCAGATCGTTTACGTTGAACGATTTCTGGGAATGTGTCAGCGGGATATAGATTGGTTTAAAGCATGTTCCATGCACGATTTCGTCGGTGCACGCTGATTGGCTAATTCCTATCCAATCAGTGCTAGTCGATACTTGGAGAAGACTCTGGAATCTTCTGATGTAAAAACTATAGACATACTAACGTATCTCTTATTGTGCTTCTTACTTCCATCTACCCTTGTTATTTTGGAATGTAATTTCTTTCCCGTTCAACCGTGATCTGATTTGGAGATATGTCGAGTGAATTGGTGTCCAAGAATACTAAGCAATAGGAATTGCTGGGTCGTAATAAGAGAAACTATAACAATGGCAACGGGGAAAAAAGAAAACACATTCAGAATGCCGATATCAGATAACCCGCTCAACCGAATACTACAACAGCAAGCACAGCTTGATGCACAAATGCGGGTGTTAGAGACTCTGATGCAACAGTTTAACATCTACTACTCAAGTTCACATGCTATTTCAAGTACTTGTGATGCAGCTGCTAGCAGCATCCCAGAATTCATCTATGACCCCGAAAGTGGAAATACCTTTCTCACGTGGTTCAAGCGCTCTGAAGATACATTTAGAATAGAATTCTGTAAACAAGATGGCACATGGAAGACTTGATTGTTGATATGTAAATTGGGAAGCAATGAACATGCATGTTATGCTGACCATATATTGCCAAAGTTACATCGAGAGCTCAGTTTCGAGGGGACAGTAACGCAATTGTCAGAGATATTCGGTGAATCCTCATTGTTTAGTATTTGATATCAGTATCTACATTTAGTGAAACGCGAAGCCGATGAATACGATGCTCTTGCAGACGTCGTCAACAGAGAGTGTGAACGGTTACCCTAGTATCCAGAGAAACGTATAACTTGCTTGGGAAACTGCCAATGAAGACATCGAAAAAAACGGCTAAAAATGCATCAGGAGGTGTACTAAAACTAGTAGTTCCTTCAATCAAACTAACTTTAAAGGAACATGATATCTGACTGAACGACCAAACCTTGATCTTCTTGGTCTAGATATGTTAGAAAAACTCGGAATAATGGATATACCTATTAACAGTGTCTGCAATGTGTCATGTTTATCATTGGACACTCCAGTACCTGCAAAGAAGACAGGTGAAAGGTTACTAGAAAAACTGAAGAGAAAGTTTGACTCCGTTTTTCAGAATAGCCTTGGCGACTGTACCGAGATGAAAGCTCACTTACAAGTGAAACCAGATACCAAACCCATTTTTCGTCCGAGACGTCCTGTACCATATGCTGCTCTTGAACTAGTCGATCAGGAACTTAATCGCTTGCAACAAGCTGGTGTAATTCAACTAGTTAACTACTCTGCATGGGCCACACCGATCGTAGTGATTAAGAAGGCTAGTGGAACTGTACTTATATATGCCGATTTCTCAACCGATTTAAATGCTGCATTGGATGTATATCAGTATCCGTTACCAGTTCCTGAAGACCTATTTGCCAAGCTTAATGGTGGAATATGTTTCGCGAAAATATACTTCTCCGATGCCTATCTGCAAGTGGAAGTAGATGGAAATAGTAGAGAGCTTCTAACCATTAACGCTCATCGAGGGTTATTTTAATACACCCGTCTACTGTTTGGCATCAAGACCGAACCTGCCATCTTTCAACAAATAATGGATACGATGCTAACAGGTATACCTAGTACAGCAGCTTATCTAGATGATATAATAGTTATGGGTTCAACTGACAGTGAAATTTCTGATCGACTACATCAAGTCCTTAACCGAATATTGGAGCATGGTTTCCAACCACGTGGAGAAAAGTGTATCTTCTTCATGAATTCAATTAAATACTTTGATTTCATCTCAGATAAGAACGGTCGCCGACCGGACCCTGCCAACATCGGAGCCATTCAGAAGATGCCTGCACCAACTGATGTCCCATCCATTAGAATCCTTTTTGGGGTTAATCGGTTATTACAGCACATTCCTGCCGGAAATGCATCGAGTGAGAGGTCCCCTGAATGAATTACTATCAAAAAATAAACCTTGGCAGTGATCAGCAGAATGCCAAGCATCTTTTAACAAAGGCAATTTAATGCTCAGCTCAAAGCTTCTTTTGACACACTTCGATCCCAGATTGGGAATTGTTGTTGCATCTGATGCCTCTAGTCAAAGAGTTGGATCAGTAATATTTCACGTGTTTCCGGACATATCAGAAAAGGTAATTGCCCATGCTGCTGGATCACCCACCCCAACCGAGCGAAACTACAGTCAAATTGAAAACGAAGCTCTTGCGATCATTTTCGCTATCAAAAGATTTCATAAAATGCTCTATGTTCGTACGTTTACTCTACTGACAGATTACAAACCTTTGATTGCGATTTTTGGCTCTAAGAAAGGAATCCCTGTCTATACGGCTAATAGACTACAGTACTGGGGAACAATGCTCCTGAGCTATGATTTCAATATCAAGTATCAGTCGACAAATACTATTAGTCAAGCTGACGCTTTCTCCCGATTAATTGGAGTTTAACACCCTGAACCAGAGGACAAAATCATTGCCTCCACAACAGTAGATCCAGAAATACGGAGTGTAGTAGCAGAGGCCATTCGGAACACTCCGGTGTCGTCAGATAAAGTCAGGGAAGAAACTCTTCGAGATCCAGTCCTACAAGAAGTTAGAAAGTTCCACCTAGAAGAGTGGCCCTCGAAAATCAGCTCCGCAGAGTTTCAACAGTTTTACCAGCGTAGACTCTCTCTCAATCATCGACGACTGCCTGCTGTTTTCCGAACGTGTCATAATCCCTAAGAAGCTGCAATCAGCCGTGCTCGAACAGTTGCACACAGGACATCCTGGAATAAATCGCATGAAAGCACTAGCACGAGGTTATGTATACTGACCTCATTTAGACACCCAACTGGAGCAGCTATCTCGTTCGTGTACTAAATGTACATTAGCAACAAAAGCACCGCGAAAAGCAGAGCTGCAATCATGGCCAATACTACAGTCACTGTGGCAGCGTATACACTTGGACTGTGCTGGTCCGCCACATGGACAAACTTACCTTCTGGTAGTTGATGCGTACCTCAAGTGGCCAGAAATTTTTCTCATGAAACATCCAACTGCAAGTTGCACAGTCAAAAAGCTACGTCAACTATTCAGTCGTTTCGGGGGTCCAGAATCGATAGTTAGCGACAATGGAGCACATTTTATGTCCACTATCTCTCCAGAATTTTGTCGGCACAACGGAATTCATCATGTCCGAACACCTCCATTTCATCCACAATCCAATGGTCAAGTGGAATGCTTTGTTGGTACATTTAAAAGTGCTCTGGGAAAATCTAAAGGGGAGGGTACCACCAAAGAGATCTTAGAGAGGTTCCTGCTTATTTATCGCTCTACACCGAACCCTCAGACGATCAACGGGGTCTATCCAACAGAAGCTCTACTTGGAAGAAAAATACGAACACATTTCAACGTCATCCGTCCGACGCCAGCTCTTGAGCCTCAACGAAACGTATCGATGGAGAAAGCAGTCCAATCGACATCATAGGGCACAAAGATGCTTGCTCACGGTGGGTTAAAAAGTACTTGCTATGGACCATCCCGGAAAACATCCTAAATGGACAGCTGTTTGGATCGTGCGAAAGAAAGGGAATGTGGTTTATGAGGTGTCAGTTGGCTCAGAAGTTTGAGTACCTCATGCTAACCAATTGAAGACAACTTCGGTAGCCAGCAACGAGACCCGACATCGAATACCTATTGACTTTCTGCTAGACACCTTTGAAATCTAAACACCCGAAACAGACGGGTCAGTTTCTGTGCAAGCAAAGAGTAATGCAGCTTTTTTATTGCCCAGACGATGGATAAATCGAAAGCACAGGTCAGTCACTCGGTTGCAACCGAACCCTAGCACCATATCCTACGAACCTGCTCAAAGGGGAGGTGTTAGCGGAATATAAATTGATTTAAAGCATGTTCCATGCACGATTTCGTCGGTGCACGTTGATTGGCTAATTCCTATCCAATCAGTGCTAGTCGATACTTGGAGAAGACTCTGGAATCTTCTGATGTAAAAACTATAGACATACTAACGTATCTCTTATTGTGCTTCTTACTTCCATCTACCCTTGTTATTTTGGAATGTAATTTCTTTCCCGTTCAACCGTGTTCTGATTTGGAGATATGTCGAGTGAATTGGTGTCCAAGAATACTAAGCAATAGGAATTGCTGGGTCGTAAGAAGGGAAATTATAATAGAATGATTTTAGTGAAGATGATTTAGTGATGCTTCAAAATGAAAGTCAGTAACGTTGAACTCTTAAATTATACATCAGTTATTATGTATAGGAAGTATTTCACAAAGCAAACTGATGTAAACTTAAGAATAAATGAAAGTCATGAAATGAACAACCATCTTACTTTGGCTAGGGCGTTTCAACTGTCTTTTCAAAACTAGACTAATGTGATTAACAAAGAGAATGAAATAAAAATACCTGAATACTATGTGAATATTCTGAGTTTGATACCGTGTCAACTCTTAGTTTGTATTACAAATATTATGAACTTTTATGTTTTGTGTCATGTAATTCACTGAATGATTGAAATAACAAATAGCCTATCTTGTAGCAGTGCATGTCTTCAGGCTGTCACAAGGTGAAATATATGACCCATGCTTTGCAGCGGAAAAAAAATTTATGAGACAAATTACATTGCAAACATGAACAGACAGAAAGCAAAATCAAAAGTGAATGTAACCACTGTAGTATGATATATCCTTTGTAACGTGCGATCCGAAGTCACAAACCATATGTACTCCTGTAATTTTAAGACTGAACATAAGAAGTTCGATATTTTTCCACAAAACGTAGAGCAGAAAAAAGTACTCCGCAAATCTGTTGCACTAATGGGACTAGAATGAGGACTGTTTCATTTAAATTAAGATCAAGTGAAGAAAACTTAAAGGCAAAAGTGTGGCACTTACCAGTTAATACTGGGAACACAATGAGACCCGCGATTACAACCCAGAATAAAATAAACCGTCTCAAGTGTTTGGATTTCGAAAGAAACATCCGATTAACCTACCAAATGTAGATAAAAATTACTAGTTGAAGTTTGCCTTTACAATTCAAAAAAGGTTCTTAGGTCTATTGTACAAGACAATAGAAGTAGGTTAAAAACGTCTGTACAAGAGATATAAAGATGTTTCGCCTTAATACACTTTGCTACAGACTGGATAAAATCACTTAAAGTTTTACAAGGTCGCTCTCTTACGCATGGCTGATAATTATGCAATCCAAGATTATGGTATGCTAACTTTGGTAATTTAGACATTTTTATTGAACTAACTCTGGTAGGAATAGTGAGACAAGCTATACTATCTACTAACATAGTGTCTCTGTTATTAGTCAGCATGTTAGTGGAATAATTAAAAGTAATAGCCATTGCTAGGAAAAGTTTGAAACATTCACAACCCACTAACGATTTAGTATCAGGCGGCTATCTTACTTCTTAATATGATGGATACGTGCTAAGAGTACACAGAAACTTTTAAATATTAAATAAATTTACAAGTGTTCGTCGTACCGAACAAAATACTGATAGAAAAGATGACGAGGTGTTCATCAGGACTCATTTTATCATCCGGTTTTAATGCCTGTGAAATTTCAGATATTTATATCACTATTTGTCCCTCTGATTTTATCTATCGAGCAATAAATATGAATACATTCAGAATTGGACTCCATGTATATAAATGACAAATATTTGATGCTGTTATAAAGTTACTTGTTGCGAAAACCACTTCTATAGATCAAATATCTAAACGAAATAATGATCAGCAGATACACTGAAATAGATTTAATGTGTAGCATGATCAGACAAAATTACTGTTCAATCAATCGGAAAAAGTTAAGAAATAATCAAACGTCAATTTAGTAACAAAGATGACAAGCAGCCCAAAGAGAAATAACTCTCCTCAAATGAAATAACAGCTAAGTGAAAACATGTGATGAAAAATTGCCTTTGGTTTGAAAACTAATCAATGAAAAGGTGCCTAAATATCTATAAAACACAGTTGCTTCTACCTTTTTATGAGGTTGGTGACAATGATTTTGAAATCAAGTTTGATGTCAAAACATCCACTATCACATATATTTAGCGTAAATTAAAGCGTTATACAGACGGCATGGTTTATTGTAAATATTGTCACCATGTAACAGAAAAGTAAGTCCGCCTGTAGCTCCTATGGGGGATACTGCCGGTCCCAAGCCGGCATGAAGAAGAAAATGCCCCACATACACAAGGAGTTGCATTGATGCTGTCCAGAAAAGTACAAAATGCACTTATTAGATGGAAATCTGATGGACCAAAGATCATCAAAGCCTCGTTCAAAACAAAGAGAGAGGGCATTACAATGAACGTCATCCAATGCTATGCGCCGACCAACGACTACGATGAAGACGCTAAAGACCAATTCTACGATAGGCTGCAGTCGATCTTCGAGAAGTGCCCAACCAAGGACCTGACCATTCTGATGGGGGATTTCAATGCCCAGGTTGGAATGGACAACACTAGATACGAAGACGTCATGGGACAACATGGACTGGGAGAAAGGAACGAAAATGGTGAGAGATTTGCAAACCTATGTGCCTTCAATAAACTGGTCATAGGTGGCACCATATTCCCACACAAAAACATACACAAAGCCACTTGGATTTCACCAGATCACACTACACAGAATCAAATCGACCATATCTACATCAACAAAAAGTTCAAGAGGACGATGGAGGATGTGAGAACCAGAAGAGGAGCTGATATAGCATCCGATCATCATTTGCTGGTCGCCAAGATGGAACTAAAACTCAAGAAGCACTGGACAACGGCGCGGACAACATCACAAAAGTTTAATATGGCCTTTCTTAGAGATGCTGACAAACTCAATAAATTCAAGATAACCCTCAGCAACAGGTTCCAGGCCTTTCGTGATCTACTCAATGGAGAGCAACTGAAAAGGTATCAAGGAGGCAATCGTTTCAACATGTCAAGAGGTTCTGGGCCAAAAGAAGCACCGTCACAAGGAATGGATCACTGTTGGTACACTGGATAAGATTGAAGCAAGGAGGAACAAGAAGGCAACAATCAATATCAGCCGAACCAGAACGGAAAAAGCCAAGGCACAAGCCGAATACACAGAGGCAAACAAGCAAGTGAAGAGGAGCATCAGAACCGACAAACGTAAATATGTGGAAGATTTAGCGATGACAGCGGAAAAGGCTGCAAGAGAGGGAAACATGAAACAACTGTATGACACAACAAAGAAACTAGCTGGAAATTACTGTAAACCAGAAAGACCAGTGAAAAGCAAGGAAGGCAAAGTAATCACCGACATTGAAGAACAACGAAACAGGTGGGTAGAACACTTCAAATAACTCTTGAATCGACCAGCTCCACTGAACCCACCCAACATCGAAGCAGCACCCACGGACCTTCCAATCGATATTGGCCCACCAACAATTGAAGAGATCAGCATGGCCATTAGACAAATCAAGAGCGGCAAAGCAGCGGGACCAGACAACATCGCGGCAGAGGCACTGAAAGCAAATGTAGCAGCAACTGCCAAGATACTACACATCCTCTTCAGTAAGATTTCGTATGAAGAACAAGTACCAACAGACTGGAAAAAAGGACTTTTGATCAAAATACCAAAGAAAGGTGATCTTAGCAAGTGCGACAACTACAGGGGCATCACTCTCCTCTAAATACCAGGGAAAGTCTTCAACAGGGTATTGTTAAACAGGATGAAGGATTCCGTGGACGCACAACTTCGAGATCAACAAGCTGGATTTCGTAAGGGTAGATCGTGCACAGATCAAATCGCAACTCTACGTATCATTGTGGAACGATCAATCGAATGGAATTCATCACTCTACATCAACTTCATCGACTACGAGAAGGCATTTGATAGCGTGGACAGGACGACAATATGGAGGCTTCTTCGACACTACGGCGTGCCTGAGAAGATAGTCAATATCATACGGAACTCCTATGATGGACTAAACTGCCAAATCGTCCACGGAGGACAACTCACCGACTCGTTTGAAGTAAAGACCGGTGTTAGACAAGGTTGCTTACTCTCACCCTTTCTCTTTCTTCTGGCGATCGACTGGATCATGAAGACGTCAACATCTGGAGGAATGCACGGGATACAGTGGACAGGCAGGATGCAGCTTGACGATTTAGACTTTGCGGATGATCTGGCTCTTCTATCACAAACGCAACAACAAATGCAGGAGAAAACGACCAGTGTAGCAGCAGCCTCAGCAGCAGTAGGTCTCAATATAAACAAAGGGAAAAGCAATACTCTCCGATACGATACAATATGCACCAATCAAATTACACTTGACGGAGAAGCTTTGGAAGATGTGGAAACCTTTACATATCTGGGCAGCATCATTGATGAACACGGTGGATCAGATGCAGATGTGAGGGCGCGGATCGGCAAAGCAAGAGCAGCATACCTACAACTGAAAAACATCTGGAGCTAAAAACAAATGTCAACCAACACCAAGGTTAGAATTTTCAATACAAATGTCAAGACAGTTTTGCTGTATGGGGCGGTAACTCGGAGAACTATGAAACCCATCATCCAGAAGATACAAGTATTTATTAACAGCTGTCTACGCAAGATACATCGGATCAGATAGCCAGACACTATCAGCAACAAGTTACTGTGGGAGACAACAAACCAGATTCCAGCGGAGGAAGAAATCAGGAGAAAGCGCTGGAAGTGGATTGGGCACACCTTGAGGAAATCAGCTAATTGCGTCACAAGACAAGCCCTCACATGGAATCCTGAAGGTCAAAGGACAAGAGGAAGACCAAAGAACACATTACGCCGAGAAATAGAGACAGACATGAGAAGAATGAACAAGAACTGGATAGAACTAGAAAAGAAGGCTCAGGACAGAGTGGGTTGGAGAAAGCTGGTCGGCGGCCTATGCTCCATTGGGAGTAACAGGCGTAGGTAAGTAACAGAAAAGTGCGATTTTCTGTGGCGTGAATAGTAGCACTGGAAAGATTAAGCCATACACTTGCTGAATATATAAACCTTAGGTGTAAATAACCTCTTTGCTTTGTCTGGTGACAGTAAGGCGGAGCATATTTAGAAAACTGAGTCTTAGTATGAATTTTTGTTTCTAAAAGCGGAAATCGGTGCTACTCTGATATTCAGGATGTAGTTTTGGAAACTAACAGAAGATTGGATTCTGTACAGAGGTTGACTCAATTATTTTCGTATAATTTTTTCATACTCTATAACACTTTATTTGGATGACATGCAGGTGTAAATTGACGCTTCATTTGTGGATATAAATACACGTTTCTATGTGAAGCTCTTAATAGATTTAGAAACCGTTTCTAAACGCTTGAGAGGTTTATAAACGGAGATAAATAATAATAGCAAGAAAAGACAAACTTCTAAGCATTGTTTCCATACATTTAACTGTCTCGATGAGTTAAATGTTAAAAAAAGTCACTTCTGGTGTTCCGGGAATCTTCTTCAGATGGATGTGTCACTAAATTTTGACCGATTGGCTGAACGTTGAAGTAATATATTCTGAAGAAAGGTCAGAGAATATTTAATTCATACTCACGATCGATAATCTTACTATCTGACACTCATTCAACTTCGACAATAGGTCGTATTAGGAGAATAGTAGCGCTAATCAAGTAACCAAAGAATGGTGATTAGATGTGACATAGCTGATGAGAAAAAGAAACATTCTATTTCATAAGAACATACAAAAAATGTATAGAAAAGGTATTGCTAAACTACGTCAATATAAGTTGTTTTGTGAAAACTGTTGGTAAAGTGTACTGGTAACCAAAGATCGATTGTAGATGAAACGAAAATTTGTTGCAACTAGAAAATTTCGCATATCACACAGAAATATTATGTGAAATTTTTAAGACAGAAACACCAGGGATCAATAACAGTATGAATGTATACATACATTTTAATACCAGTGTGACTGACTTATTAGTTGACAAACTACAAAAAACACAAGGAAGATTTCTCATAAATTTATATTTTCAATGCGACAGTAAACTTGTCTATTACTTCTGAGACAATCTGTTCAAGTAAATTTCTTAACAGCTTATTAGTTCTGCAATAACAAGAAAATAGTGATTTCAAACTAGCTGCTCAAACAACATTCCTACAGGAGGCCAGTTGTGATCCGAAAATCTCAATGATAACATCAGTGGCTAAGAAGTTGCGTTATACAGATTTGAACCCACCAAGGAGCACCACATACACCTTGCCAATATGTGTCAAATATCATGAAATCTGGGTCTAATGTATCCTAACGACCATTTCCAACCACCACCATATACACAATCTATTTCGAACTAAAACGAAGTTGGCGGATATGAGAGACCCATCCAATGAAGTTAAAAAACCCTAAATTCAAACCAATGGTGCGCACTGACTTCAGAATCCTGGGGGATAGAATGGTGCATAAGACTATATTTTTCAGTGACTACCATGGGGTCGCATCTCATGACGTTATGCTGCGTTATGGTATCGATCTCTAGATAAAACGTTCGACGAGGTGTCTAATACAGCTACATGGTTCGACCTGAGAGCCCGGGTAGTCTTTCAGCCCTCTCACAGTGACAGTGAATAATCATGAAGAAATTGACTAACTTTTATATCACTACTAAGTCGGAAGCGAACAATTACCCATCTACATTGAGAGATTTAGTTTTACTTTGCTTTACTTGTTTCGTTCTTCCATCCTCTGGTTACTTTTGTTTACAAACTCACAAAGCAGCTTATCTACAGAGATAAAGAGTCCAATACTAGGATGAAACGGCAGTTCAATGCTCTCATGATTATAGTAGTGGTTTATAATTGATCAGTTTGTGATCGAAAATAAACTCAAGTAACTGACTGGTCAAAAGTTCGGATGCTACAATTGAGTACCAATTTTTATTAACAAACTTACTTACGCCTATTACCCCTGGTGGAGGATCATAGGCCGCTCACCAGCATTCTCCATAGAACTCTGTCCTCGACAATCCTTCACAGCTGTTTCCAGTTACTATTCATAATTTTCATGTCTCCTTCCGATTCCCGACGCAGTGTGTTCTTTGGCCTTCCTCTTTTCCGTTTCCCTTCAGGATCCCAAGTTAGGGCTTGCCTCGTAATGCAGTTTGATGATTTCCTCAATGTATGTCATATCCACCTCCAACGTCTTTTCCTAATTTCCTTTTCAGCTGGAAGTTGATTTGTTCTCTCCTACAGCAGACTGTTGATGATGGTATCCGGCCAACGGACGTTGAGTATCTTGCGTAGACAATTGTTTATAAATACTTGTACTATTTTGATGATGGTTGTGATATTTCTATAAGTTTCAACTCCATACAGTAGAACTGTCGTGACGTTCATATCGAAGATTCTGGCTTTGATATTCGCTTGCATACAGTTGCTTTAAGTTCCACATGTTCTTCAACCGTAGGAATGCGGTCCTTGCCTTTACATGTTCCATTTAAACTGGCCACCTTTAACATCTTTACACTCATGCGGATCAGACAAAAGATAGGTTTTGTTATGAAAAGTTTTAATGTCGTAGTCTGTTTTATATCTGAAATCCATGTGAGTTAGCTGAATTCAACTAAATAGACATCGTAACTTACAGGTTTGGTTATGGATACAGTGAAGCCGATTGATAAAGCAGGAAGTGCTATGACAATTGTGAGTGGAAGGAGGATTGGTGTGCCTAACATTATACCACAAACAGCAACAACACGACGAAGTTTTGACCATCGGCTGCGACCCAACACTGTACAACCGGAAAAACTGGAAATGGTAAAAATATAAGAATTAAGTGGTGGAATACAGTAATATGGGAAGTTATTAATCAAAAGTAGATGAACGTATCTATAAGTAATTGTATGATGTCAAAGTTACACAGTACTCAGAAGTCACAAGCCAAAAAACTTATCTGGTATCTCCTAGTCTTCAGTGGTTTTTAATTGATTCCAATGCCCATTAGAAACGGTCTTCAGACTAACTAATAATAATACCTATCAGTACTAAAAGCTAGAAAGTAGCCAAAGTGTATTGAGTTTAATAAGCGAAACAATAAAGAGGGGAATCAATTCTGCAGGTCACTCACTTTCTAATCGAGTAAGACCTACCTGGTTGTTGAGACTAATTCTTATCCATCATATCACAGTATAAATTAAACTGAAGGGTATGTAAATTTGAATAATCTTATAATAATGACACAAGAGTGACTCATGGATTTGGTAAATTCCTTAGAAAAGTAATTGTCAGAAAGGTTAAGTCAGCAAGATTATTACCTGGAGGTTAAAAAGACAGCGTAGGATCGGCAACTTAAACGGGTCATTTATCTACATATCGTTGATTATATCTGTTTTACCAACACACTTAATAATAATAAGTGTGACTAACTCAGTTCGTGACCAAGCAAAATCTTTTTGCTCAGGTTACCGTGCAGGCGAATGATACTACCTGTTTGTGTAAACGAAAGTAGGCAGTGAATAGTCGGAATATGAACCTTAGTATCCGAAAATCACGTATTTTATATGCTAAAGCACCATTTTACAAATACGCAAAAAATGAAAGACGGTATGAGAGTTTCGGACGTCTGATTATGCGTATTCGTTAAGTTTTGTAATATTTTTAATATGACTTGCTTGGTGAAGTTTAACTCTCCATTTTAATTATAACTTGGATTTATATAAGCGTTGAGGTAATATAATAAGCATTTTTAATTTAAATAGCTTATAATCATAATTTTGTTATCCAGTACCTTTTTATATGTAATGAAATTTGGTGCACTAGCCCTATATGGGAATCCATATTTGATCGGAAAAAGTAAGTAACACTTAGTTATATGATGTAGGAAGTGTATTGATTTATATCCCATGGATAACAGAAACAACCTGCCTTCAATGAAAATTGTTGCTTCAGGGCTGGGTGCTTGTCAACGCCTAAACTAATGATATGGAGTGAAATAGTAGAGTGAGTCTACCACTTCAGTTATCTTGGAAGTTTCATCAGACATGATAGGTCGGTGTCTGACGGAATTTCGGGAGAGATTCAGAAAGTTCGCTTGGTTTTTGCCAACTTGCATCAGTTGGGGGTTAAACGAGATGTCTGTCTACCAACCGAATGACGAGTGTAATGCCTAACAGTTCGCTCCATTATACTTTATGACTGTCAAATGACTTTGAAATTAGAGGACGTTCGTGGGTTACTAAATGCTTTCGAAGCATTGGAGCATATTGGGACCATACAGTACGCAATGCTAAGGCGGTTGCGATATGTATTGTGTGCTAAGACAAAATGCGGTATCAATCCATGAAGTCATCGACTGTTCGTCTAAGTTATGTAGGTCGATGGAGGCTACTTGGTTAGGGTCCGCGCGGTTTTCGTAACCAATGGTTAGGAACTTTGGGTGATATAACTCAGAACCATTCGCGATGGCATAAGTCTGTTCACTCATTTTCTTCCCTTAGATTCCAGGTTTCCAAATTATCCTGAAAATATCCCTATTCTACCAAACTGTCTTTTCTCCAGTCATATCTTCCATCCCTAACCTTTTCTACTGAAACTGATAGTGTCATTACTTATACGCTTCTGAGGTCTCGCTGTGATGTGGTGCAGCAACTTGAACAGAAGCACATATGTACCAGGTTATACGTTGTGTATGATTAAAAGGTTGACTAGGAACATAGTCAACCAATAATTTTTCGTATTAGGTAAACTAGAGGCTATTTATTGCTATTCACTTTCATAAACGCCTACGTTGCTTTAAGTAAATTGGGATTAAACAGTTGCTAATTTAGTCGATTATTATGGTGGTTGGAGGTAGTCGACAGGAAACCGTGATCCTAGGTTTCGTGCTATTAAGCACTCGTCAGCAAGGTGTACATGTAATATTAGGAAGCTGATGCCCCCCCTGGTGGGTTCAATACCGTAATATGCAGCTTCATGACCAGTGATGTTATTGCTGATTATCGGATCGCGACTGACTTCCTGTAGGACTGCGATATCTCCGATTGTGAAGCTGAGTGACACGGGATCGAATACGCCAGAGAGTACTAGTAACCTCAAAGTTACAGGCACACCATATTGACGAGTGAAAAATGGTATGAAACCTGGGTCCAGAGGTTTCTTGTAAACTACCTCTAACCACCACTTTATATCTCAGCATAGTGCACGCGATGTAGAGTAACACAAACTAGTGACCAAGTTGTAACTTGATCGACAGAATTCGAACAGCACTAAGCAGTACCTGATATATGTGACATTGGTCACTACTCTGAAATCAACCAATTGTAAACGATTAGCGTTTGCCAATATCCAAGTTTGTGTTACAGCTGTAGTGCCTGGTACTATGTCAAGCCCACATGGGTTATTCTAGCGTCCGGAAGGACCGATCTATTCTTTCTTTCTCATCTTTTTGACCTCGTTAATTATTCGTTTATTAACATGATTGTTTTTATATGATCATATGTGTTAATTGCTTATCCTATTCGTTACATGTCTGTAACTTATTTTCGTTTGGTTATAAATATTGAATCATGCTTGATCAAATCGAAGTTGGAGTGCTCGCCCTCCCCGCTCTGCTTCGCTTTCCCGCTTCTTATTCTGAATGTCTGTCTTAATAAACGAATGCTTGAAATAAATCCCACCAAAGCAACCTGTATTTGGCTTCTGATTACCACAGTATATATATCAAAAGACTAAAGATTATTGCTTACGTACTTCAAATAATGCGTTGCTGTAGTTTCCCGTAAACATAACCAACAAAATTCATAATTACAAATTGAGCACACCATAGAATTGCAACTTCCATCATTAAGCTTTTGTATGAGAGTTTTACAATTAGGACATGGTTTCACTAAGGTGTCTGAAATAAAAACAAGGAAATCAAACTAATTAAAAAACATGTGAGTGAATTTATTTATTTAAAAAACACATACATATTGGTACAAAGAGGCACCAGAGAAATATGCGCTACAGCAAACAGTGAGAATGGGAAGAGAAGGGGGAAGATGCTTATATATAAAAGAAAAAAAATAGGATGAGAAAAAGAGAAGATGGAGGGAACTGAAATGTACAACAACAAGACTCTTTCAGTTAAGAAAGTTATAACCACTCTTTATGAAGAAAGTAAAAGAAGGTTGCAGCAGGATCGCCACTGGCTTCTATTCTGAGCCATATCTGATAACGTCTCTAGCCACTGTGTTGCACCATCTCTTGGACACCAATCAGGGGGTCGTCAAGGTCCAACAGAAACCAGCCCTTTGCAGCTTTCTTTCATACCACGACACCATGTCATACACTGACCACCTCTCCGCTTTTTCCAATCAGTTCCAGCGTCGGGAAATAATGCACGACATGGAATTCTCTACGATGAAATTTGTGGAACATGCCCAAGCCACCGAAGTCGGTGTTTCAAGATGGTGACACCAATTGAATTATCGTCTGTGCGCCCGAACACACGATGCCGAACCTCTGCATTACTAACATGATGTTGCCACTGGATGTCAGTGATTCTTCGGGCACAACAAGAATCAAACACAGAGTCGTCTAACATCCTCAACTTGGAGAGGCCAGGTTAACTTCACGAAGGCGTCAAAGATGGTCCAGATTGACATAAGCTGCTCTTGCTTCCACTATACGTGCATCGATCCCATCACACACGCCACCACCATCACTTATGCAGCTACCCAGGTACACGAAATTCTCGACTACTTCAATCTGCTCACCACCCAAAGTGAATAAAGGATTAGAATCCTACCAGTCTTGTAGAAGTACTTTACGTTTCGAAGGTGCAAATCACTCACCGTACCCATGGACACTGATTGCCTACTGATTAAGTGAGGATTACATGGCTAGAGCATTATCGCACAATAAGACAATCTCATCGGCATACTCAAGGTCGAGAAATATTTCTCCAGGCTTCCCTGAAGTGTCTTTGCTACGTCCAGTAAGACGCAGACAGATACGTGCTCGCACTAGAGCATGATCTGAATCTAAACACGTGCCACAGAATGAGCGACAGTCTTCTATCGAGCCCCTCCATCGGTGGCTGATAGCGATGTGATCTAATTGGGTCCAACGTTGAGACGAATTCGGGGGTCGCCATGTAAAAAGATGTTTTTCCTTATGCTTAAAGTTAGTATTTGCAAGAAATAGGCGGTTATCTGAGCATAGCTGCAACAGACGGTCGCCATTATCTGTTCTTTGAGCCATCACACCATAAGATCCACCCAGGTGTCTTTCCCTTTCACTTAGTTTACCTACTTGAGCATTAAAGTCACCTGCTACTATTACTACATCAGAACGCCTAGCTTCTCGGAGAAGGTAAGAAAGTTTCCTGTAAAACTCATCTTTTATATCGTCTGAGCTGCAGTCAGTGGAAGAGTAGGCACAGACGACGAAGAGGCAACAACGGGTTTCCCGATCTTTCCGAGTCCTTACTGATCCGTTTAGTCGGACAGCGCATAGACGACTGTCTACTGGGATCCAGTCTAAAAGAGCTAGTTCTGCCCTACGACTTAATGCTATACCTACTCCAGCGAGGCCACGGGAAGCAGCATCAGGGCTTCTAGATACACAAAGTGTGTATCGAGATGGTTTTTTATTTTGATTAGGTGAAGTCAAATGAATGACACTACTCGGATCTTGTATGCGCGTTTCGGAGACGCAGCACACACCGATGGTGTAAGATTCTAGAGTCCTAGCTAAGGAAGCCTATTGTCCTATTTGGCACAATGTTCGGACATTAAAAGTTCCTATGTGTAGTTTAAGGAGTGGTTTCAGGAGACCAGGAATAACGTTCCGCGTACTTGAATCGTTTGCCCTAGCGGTGCGAGGTGATAAAAGGACGTGAGAAGGGTTAGTCGTGGAGATAAGAGAGTTATTAGGAGTAGGAAGGATTTGAAAGTGACCAACTTGGTCTCGTGTGTTGTTACGGGTATGAGAGCTAATATCATTTCCCGGTTGCCCACACTGTGGAAGGGTATTTCTTGAGGGACCTGAAAAAGAAGTCGGATTAATGTTGGTCTTAACGACCTGGGAGCGTGACCGCAGTGCCCAAGGGACAACTGCTTGAGGCCCGTCATGCACGGCCTTTTTGTGGGGGATTTTTGACGTCTTAGCTCCGTTCTTCAAAGGACCTTACCGCCGGAGACAGAAATCCGTGGGATAAGGCGAGGTGTGCATTTTTAGGGTCGACCTTTTCTAACCCCACCCCTCCTTGTGGGAAGGCAGCATCGCTGTCATGCTGGTTGTCTGGAGGAAACACCTTACTGCTGTCACACCTCTGTACAGTCGGCAGTACGACTTCGCTTTCGGACCTTGGGATTGCTGCTTTTAGTCTTACCGCTCTTCAATCGACCTGTCTGGCATGGTAGGACCTCGAGGAACGATTGTTCCAGCCAGCATAGCTCGATTGGTTCATCACGATAGGCAAGCCCGACCACCACGTCAAGGTAGCAGCAACGGTCGAGATGAAATAAGCACGTTTACATCCAATAGCTTAAGATATCTACTAAACGTTTACCGATAAAATGGGTGTATAAAAGGTTGAAAAGAAACCATGGAATGCATGACCCCAAAACGGTATCAAGCTAGTTTTATAACTAAGCTGGCAAAATTGAATATTGTCCATTATATGGGTAAAAGAGAAAGTTGAATATAGGTGCAATTATTGCACGATTGAGTAAAATTTTTATGAAGTCAGGCAGTCTGAATCAACATACTATTGACCCAGGTTCTACTTTGTTTTACTATTGACTGGTAGTAAATACATGTATACAAACATGCATACACCACCCTGTAGTCTTTAAAGCTACATAATATATATATATATATATATATATATATGAAATCCACGCCTACTTTAAATGAAATTAGTTGTTGACGTCAAGTAAACAATCAACAAACTGATCAGCTAAGCTGTATTGATCGAAATAATAAAGGACAGTAAAGCTTTACGGCACACACAAATTCTCGTTGAAAAATAGTATAACATATTATAAAATGCTTATGAAGCTTTAAATGGTCCATATACCAAACTGATTCGGTTGATTGGAAGGCGATTAGTTAGAAAAAGATAACATTCGGTAAAAGAAAGCACACTCCAAAACATTAATTAGTAAAGAAAGCCCAGATAATATTGGGTATAATCAATTACCATCAATTGAAATTCACACATCTGTCTAACTTGCATATTTTATTCCTCTCTGTATGCCTGTTTTGGATGCACTGACAAAAAAGGCTATACGGGTGACGATGATCAACATTAAAATCAGCTGTTTAGTAGTTTGATTGAATTGATTGGTTATCTACAAGTCAACTAATTTTTTTGTTTTGTTAGTTACTGTGAGTGTTACAGGTTTAGTTTTTTGACTGAAAATGATAAGATGTGAATCAACTGTTATTCGTAGCTTTATTGGAACCAATCATTTTTTTATGATTTGCATACAGTGATTAATTTTCTTTCTGTATTTTTATTCATTCTTTTCTACTTTATGTATTTATAAACTTTTATTGTCTCTTAAATTCATTGCTCCTGCAACATACTCACCTAAGAAATTATAAATTTCACTCATTCATATCTCCATAGTTTTTGAGCAAATTCTCTCTTAGTCGCAAGGACTTGTAAAAGTTTAATTTGGAAGACATTTGTGAGCTGTAGGTATATGACAATATTTATCTTTCAAGTTCTCGTATAAAAATATGGTACGAACCTGTACTCTGTTTGCGAGATTTATGTCACATAGCACTATTAAGTCAACACTGAATTCACTAAAACAATATCATCATGTGCACTTGTAAGAAGAATTTTTTCATGCGACATTTATTTGTTTATGTGTCGAGAGGAATATATTTCACAGACATACATTTTATAGTTTGATATGAAAGAAAAACTAAGTCAAAATGGATGATAATAAAATTATAAATTAGCTGCCAGTTAGTGCATTGTATCACTAATTCTTACATACGATTAATGACTTTATTCCCTAGCTCCTTAATTAGCAGAATAATTAATAAAATAAAAGCAGTTACTTAACTTTGGAAATATACAATTTAGAAAATTTAAGAAATCATTAAACGCTCAGGTGCATTTTGTGATTATTTTGTACATTTAACTGTAAATTCCATGGCAAAATTAAATACAAATCATTCATTCTACTCACAACTCACCAATCGTATATATTCTGTCAGAACAAGATGCAGATACATAAGAGCTTGTGTAGGTGTAAAGTGCACAAGCTCTATACAATAGCGTATTTAGTAGACGTGCTACGCAACTAACAGGTTGTAAGGGCTAGTCTAGCCAAAAGCCTATACTCCAGAATTTGCGGTTTATTCAACTTTGTGAAGATCCTTATTTTCTTATAAAGATTTCATTGTAATGTAATTTTGTCTACTTGTTTTACGTATATGTGACGTCTACGAAGATTGAGAGAAACTGGTTATAACATTGTATGCTAAAATCCCAAATAGTATTAAACGTACAATATTGAATAAAGCGATTATTATTTCAAAAACTCACTTTGACCATTAGAATCTAAGGAAGAACGTCTGTTTACTTTGGGAGATGATTCAGAAGAATTACCCAGATCAGATTCAGCGACCGGATGTCTAAAGAAATTATAAAACTACTAATGAGGATAGAATTTATGATCATAAACAATTTATCAAATTAAACGGTTTTGTTGCCATATATATTTATAAATTAGAATAAAGGCAGTTAGATATAAAAATGAATGAGGATGAATTTTCAAATGGATATTTACAATTAAAAAGGTGATTACTTTTTTTTTGAAACAGGAGCAGTAGTATTAGCACTCTCAAGATCTACATCTGCAAATAGTTCTTCCATAGATAATCGAGTATCATTGGAGTAGTTGGTAGAACTGGGATAAGATCTCGGTACACGGGAACGTTTTTCCTTCGTAGAAGTTGGGGTATTTAAATGTATTGGTAGGATATTATCAGAAACTTTTGGTTGGGGGCCATTTGTCATCGAATTTTGACCAGATATTTGCCTGCTAAAACGCCGAATACCAAAGAAAGAGCGCAATCCATTTAATGCATTACTACGCTTATCTTGTTCAGCCGGACAAATATGCATAACATTATTTTGGTCTGACGAACTTTCATTTGTCGTATCAGTGGACCAAGGTCTTCTACATTTAAAACAAAACGAACGTCCTTCGCACATTGGATGAAGACAGACGATTTGTGGACAGGCGTTGAAGGAGTGTGCTATCAATCCATAACTGAAATGATAAAATACCAGGTAGTATGAAGAACTAATTAAATATAAGATGGGACCACTTCAAATACCCAATAATGCTACAGCTACGAAATATTTTCGTTTTTATTCACAGATTCTTGAAAGCCCGTTACATGACATAATTAAGACCCTTAAATATGTATATACAACTGTTTTGAGCTAAGTATACGAATTAGGTAGATAGATGTCTAATTGAAACTATAAAACAATAAACCTTTTGGAGATAATTCCACATCTATCAGTTACAGATGTTTTTTATGGCGCATTAAATAAATGAGGGAGCCAATCAAGTTAGAATAGTTTCAGAACATAAATTGGCTCTCCAAGGATCGGATAATACATATTTTGAGAGGTTATTTTATACTGTATGAGGATAATATTAGATATAGTGACAAATTGTAGACAGAAATAGACCCGCTGATTCTTTAACTAAATTACTGTAGAAGCAAAAGCTTTTTTGATTTTTCAGATGTTTGTCTTTATCTTTTAATATTTTAGTGTGAGTTTGATCCTTAGGAGATTTATTTATGCACTGTGATACCAATGACTAGGATTGTAAGCTCACTTTCTATTAAACAGATGTAAAATATTATTGTTGAGAGTAGACGGTAACAAATACCGGATCCTTAATGATTTTTAACTCAGTCATCTGTGGTGAAACCACAGATTGAACAATGTTAGAATTGAGCATAGATTACAAAGTAAAAGGAGGTAAGTCTGTTAGAGAAGTTGTGAACATTTTATTGAGATGATTAAAATGTGATACATACAGCGAATTATCGACTACGTCGAAGTGTTATGTAAACTGGAGGGAGGGTAGGATTGAGGGCTTGAGGTGGCTAGAAAAGAGGTGTTGTTGTATGTTGACTGAAACCATGTACAGAAACACAGGCTTTATGGTCAGCGGTTGAAATCAATAGGAAACTGATGGTTAGTTCTATGTATCACCAATAAGATGTAGTTGTAACGATTCGCATACATTTTCATTTTTGATAATATCGAAAGAATAATTATTCCGAACACTGCATATTGTCTCCCATATCCTCACTATTGTTGTTACTACTTTTGTCCAATTATTTTTTTCTCTGAATGGTACGATGCGTTGCAATTTGGATATATAAGTAAATGTTTCACATTGTTTTTGTTGGTAATGAATATTTTAGCCTGCGTTATTTACGTTACGATTTGATGAACGATTCGTGAATTAAGAACTGTTAGAATGAATGAACAGAGTTCTGATCAAGAGATAACAGATTCAATGACACAACGTGGGTGTGATAAATACCATTAATTGTTGAAACGAAAACATTTAACACTTCTTATTCCATTATCACTACAATTCTACGTTAACTTGTTGATTTTACATGCTGCTTTAATTGCAGAAATACTGTAGAAGATACATAACCTTTCATTGTTATTGTTTACACTACATTTTCTAGTAATAAATCCTTTTTGTTTCATCATCGCATTTATTAATTGTTCATATTTCCTTAATGACTTAAATCTTAAAATTTCATACACCATTATATATATATGATTATACTGCTTGATAATAAGTTGAAAATCGACCACTCTGCTTAATTTCGTGTTTTTAATGTCTAAATAATGATCATAAATCAATCGACTGATAAATGATTATGATGCCGAATTATTGACACCGACTCCCGAATGATTTGATGGAAAAAACAAGATCACTAGCTGAAATAGGCTTTCTATCTGAAAAAAATATATGTTTATATACAAAATATTTAACATGAGAGTAAAAATGATCGGAAGTCCACTGAAACACAAACAATTGGAAGATACTGTCAAAATTATTTTTGCATAATATACTAGTTCACGAGATGTAAACTGTTTTTTTTCGAATTCTTTCAAGTAGTTGAGTTTCTAATTCCAAAAACAATCATTTATCCTTAAACGGATTATATCTAAGATGTTTTTTCCTCACTAATGCGAGGTGAAGTTGTATCTTTAAAGTTAATAAGTTATTTATTTATTTGAACACATGAATATTGGTACAAAGGGGCACCGAATACATATGCGTCACACAATTCAGTTGATTTGTGTGTGGGCTATGATACTGCCCAGGTGCCCAAACTGAAACAGGTGGTTTTCTTAAGGGGCCACACCCGGAGCCTTTGACCTAAAGATCTGATCCACAAGGCAGTGGAACATCGTGAGGAGATGCAGTATCATGGTAGCCAGTGACCAACAATTGCTTTATATACCATTTATTCCTTCGGGATCCTGGAGCCCATGTATATCATTGGTTTGGAATCAGGGTTTTCCAACTCCCCTAGGTGGGCTTTCTGTATCCACCAACCCGGTTAAAGCGCCACACATCCACTTTTCGTCCTCTCAATTTCGTAAACAACACCCTCCGCCATGAGAAGGCAGTGAGTAGGACTTCCCTGGCAAAGGCTATATACGCGTGGCCATATGAGAGCATTTCGAGAGGGAGAGCTGACTCTCCCCACTCTCAGCCGTACCAGGGCATTTGTCGTGGTTACTTGAGCATTAAACACATCCTAAGAAAGAAAAAACTAAATCTAGGAACTGGATTCCATTTCGTCACAAAGAATTGTTTCCGTGATAAATAGTTTGATGTATGATAATAACTAATTGGAGACTTATTCAGTATGCTATGAGCTACATATTTGATTAACTAGATATACTATCTGGTTATTTGAACTGAAGTAGAGTGACTAAATCCAGACATAATAAATAAGTAGAGTGCAAACTGTTGAGTTATATCGCAGCAGTGAACGAGTACAGCTTGAACTTGTGGTCAGTGACCAACTAGTAAATAAAAAATGACATTTGATTAGATTCCCCATTAAAAATAGAGGAAGGTACAAGTAATGTGCATAGTCTACTGAACATAATACCTATAGTTCCAAAATGAGAATGTCATACTGTATCAATATTTACGTGTTCATGAAGAATTGTTAATTTAAAAAATGAAACAAAAAAACATAATTTCTATGGAGAATGTAGCTGGATCCAGCAGTGTGGCACTTACCCACAACCTCTTGGGCACCATCTCGCTTCTGGTTCACGGGACATTGCTTGTTGAAGTAAGAATTCCTCATATCGAGATAAACTGCGATCATACTGATTATCTTTTACGGGACTTTGTGAAGACTCATGACGAGTCGAAACAGCAGACAAAAGATGGATCACAGTTGATGGCTGTAATAGTTCTGAGCACGCTATACATGTGAGATGAGCCAGTGCGAAGTTTTCTATTTGACTCGAGATGAAATTCCTCCAACAAACTGAGCAAGCGAAGTGACCACATGAAGTAAGTCGCAGTGGATCTTCTATAGGCATCAAACAAACTGGACATTCACTTTCATTTTCGGAAAATGAGGTAAGCTCATTACGTTTTTTTACTTGTGGGTGAGAATCTGCAAAAAAGTAAGGATACTAGAAAACAGAAACTGAATATTCTTTATCTAGCGCTTATTGGAGCTGTAGGTTAGAATATGAAAATCACATGGAAACAAACCACTTAGAATACGTGATTAGATAAGTATACAAAAATGATTATATTTGCGAAGCAACTGAGTGAATTTTACACGAAAATACGCATATAAGTAATAACTAAGATGAATGTTATAACGATATTCAATTCATAAGTTACTACAATAGTGAAGTTTTGCAATTAAATTCACGAAAAATGCAACCCATTCGACAATGACAGATTCATAAATAAAAAGTGATAAACTCATTCACCAAGCACTTGGGTGTGAATCATTTTCTAAGTGAGGGGTGATAATGTTACCAGCCGGCTGCCCAAACCAAAGTGGAGTGGTGTTCGAATCTGGGACTTAGTAGCCGAAAGTCGAACACTTTGATCACTAAGATACCACCATACTTTAAGTAGAAGGGCTAAAGACGCTATTCGGTTTTGAAAACTGTATTAGTTTAGTTTGAGCTCGAGATTTGTATATAACGGTGGTCTAACCATCAAGTCACCGCCTAAACAAAAAAAGCATGGAAGAAGAAATGCGACCAGGAAAAAACAATTCTTTTATTACACTTACCTACCTCTAGCCTCCAAGTGGGTGATACAAAAATAAAACGAAACATCTAAATGTGAAATAGGTAAGACTAGTCGCCAATTAACTACATAAAATAGCACATCAGTCAAGAGTAACATTAAAACAGCTGAGGTTTAAATTTATTCTTTACACCTGCCTCAGCATTGATTAACAACTTTTCACTTTACACTCTTCTAATCTGTCCCCTGATAATATTCATAATTTTAAACGCTATATAGTCGGTTAGTGTTTTGTAGGGTATGAAAGTCAGTAACTTGTGCAGTGATTACCTTTTTAGTAACAATGGGTTGGAGTGATCACGCTACCACTGATTTAGATTCGATTTACAATCAAAGATAACTCGTTTCACAGCATGCTATATCTTCATTTATTTGGGAGAAAAACGTGTGCACTTAGACATGTTGAGTACATATTTCAATAACACTTACACCAAACTCCAATTATTTAACATTTACGGGGTAAAGAAAAAAACAATGATCGTTTTAACCAGAAATAAGCTATGTACAAACCTGATACAAATGTACATCGATCAATGTTACCACGTTACATCAGCAAAGCGAGATAAAATTACCAAGACGAATGTCGGAGTAACAGGATTAATCAAAAGTAATTAGAAAAGATTGGAGAGAATGGGATTTGAAAGGAATGAATTCGAAGAGTAAAACATAAGATAATCCTGAAAACTAGGATATAGGCGTAAATTCAAAAATTTAGTCCGTTTATCAAGTGCTTGGGTACGAACCATACTTTACGTATGAGTAACGATACTACTCGGTTGCACAAACCTAGGCAGGAGGAGAGGGGTTCGAACCTGGAAACAAGTAACTAGGAGTAGAACTCCTTAACCGCTAAGCCGCCATTCCAACAACAAAGAATGGATGTATCTTTATCATTGCGACGGGTTTTGGACCATTTCAAATGTCTACAACCATCAGTCACTATAATCCCACAGAAACTAACCAAATAGTCTGAATCTACCAACATGGCTCAGACGAGCAGTCAACTGCTTCATGGGCTGATGTCGAGTCTGAGTTTCCGACCCTCACAATTTTCCTTCAACCTATTCTTACGCGAGCTAATAGTGAGCATCAAGGTAGACAGTGGTTGGGCATACGCAGTACATATCCCAACTACCTCAATCAATTATTCTCAAACCCATTAACTGATTCATGCTTTATTCTAAGTCTGGCCCGCTCCATAGGTGTCCAGGAAATTCGAGTAATTATTGTAGTGAGAAAATGTGACGAACAAACTTCATTGGAATTGTCTGGTAGGAGTAGTAGCCCAGTGGTTTACGAATGGAACTCTGGGTGATTATGCTGCAAGCCTGAACTTCGATTCATTTTGATTCGGTTAACCGGGAAGTATTTCAGACAAAGGATGTAGCTCTAGTTTCAAAAAAACATATACTTGGCTAGTGATTTGAATTTGTTAGTTTCTTGTTTTTCCTGTATGTGGTTAGCATCAATCTGTCTTGAGTATGATTTTATTACAGTACTACCTGGTCTAATTCTGTAGTAAATCTAAGCTGGGCTTTCTCTGTTTATCAGTTTTTTTACAGAAACCGGTTGTACTACTAAGATAAACTTTGTTAACTAAGTAGAATAGGTTTTCATATAGAAGGCTTGGTGACTGCAAGCACGTTACTTCCTTGACCAGTGTTATGTACGTGAAACAAGCTAAGTTGTTTTTCTAAAACCTATCCATAAAGCACTATGACCACTTGATCATGCTTGTACACAAAGCAGTGTATAATAATGTGAAGGATTGGACAAATCATGTTTCTAAATTTTAGGACATAGAAAAACAATTTCATCTCAAACTAACATTACAAAGTTGAGCTGTTACGCGACGCATCATTCCCAAGTGTTTTTTTTGTTTGGTGGTCTTTTAGCCATTTCACTCGATTAGTGGTATTTACACATTAAGGAAACTTATTAAAAATTCGATTGTTATTGATTCTATTTCGTAAAAAGACTGAACAATTATTCAATCTTAATCTACGAGGTTATACTGATGGGCAGAGCACTTTAAGTGACAGTTCGACTGACCTCAGCTCCTCTTGAGATACCCACTATTCAAAAACAATTGAAATGGGAGGTTGAAATAAGCCCCCTATCTTTAGCAAGGTTGGAAAGGAAATAGCTAATCTAAAGTGATGGAGAACAGTGGAGCCTAATAGATTAACCCTGGAGATCTTTGGGGATGGTGGTCCAGTTTTACCAGTTAAATTGACTGAGGTATTAGCTAGAATCTGGAAACTGGACGTAGTCTTATTTAACTGGTCTCGACTGCTGATAGTGCCAGTTTAGAAGCAAGGAAAGAAATCCTCCTGTGATAGCCACAGAGGGATCCGTTTGATCACCATAGCTTGTTCAATATTAGCTTCAATAATCACGCGACTAATCACGGCTTTAAAAGAGCAAACAAGAGAAAGCTAGGGTGGTTTTAGATGTAGGCGTGGATGCTTTGGTCAAATTCCCATTCTTCGTCAGGTTTTGGAGCACAGTCAAACTCTTTAGCACCCGACTGTAGTTGCATTTCTCAGCTCTGTGACAGCAGTCAATTTTGTTGATGGAGAGGTGTCGTAGTTGTGTCTGTTATCATAAGATGCACCAAACAAGCACACTAACCTCGTATAGGCTCTCTACTCGAACACCACTTGTCCAGTCACAACTTGTGGCCAACTGTGAACCTCAAGTGGTGTTCCTCATGGTTGTCCACTTTCTTCATTTTTCCTCAAATTTCGTCATGGAAATTATTTTAGAGATGAACCCCTCGTCGCTTTATTTTTTATAAACTCATCTCATTCTAGCTTTAACTAGATGACAGTCCTGTTCAGTCAAGACTCCAACAAAATAGAGTCTATCGGTTAAGGGCTCCGGCTCGAGACTGGTAGGTCCTGGGTTCGAATCTCGCGAGAGCGGGTTCGTGGATGCGCACTGCTGAGGAGTCCCATAATAGGACGAAACGGCCGTCCAGTGCTTCCAGGTTTTCGATGGTGGTCTAGCCTCAATTGACTCATGATCTTAACTATAAAATAGAGTCTATTGAACGCCTTGAACAAAAACGGAAGCATACTTGCGATACGCTTCTTTTCCTCTAAATCTGAAGTATTGCTTTAGGACTGGTCTGCATCAACGCCCGAACTAATGATAAAAAGTAAAGTGATTGAGTTCATCAGATACTTCACTTATCTTGGAGGTCGCATTAGCCTCAATAGATTGATGTGTGCCAACTTGCGTCACTTGTAGAGTAGGAGAAATGTTCGTCTGCTAGAAAAAGGACGAGTATAATAAGTGGCTGTTTAATCCATCCTACTGTATGGGTGTGAAAGAAAACGTATCCTTGAAAACAGAAGACATTCGCTGTTTATTAGCACTTGATCACTAGTATCTTTGAGGCACTTTTGGTCACCGAGTAAGCAGCAATGAGGTTAAGCATAGAACACGGGGTAGGGATAAGAAATCAGTCGATGAAGTTGTGAGTCTTCACTAACTGATAGTTGTAACATGTACTATGAATACCTAACCGCCGCATATCTTAAAAGAGAAATGTTGTCCGATGTGAAGTAGCTTGCACGAAGCCAGAGTCGGCCAAATTAAAATATAGTATTGGTCCAAGAAGTCTGTGACTGTTAGACGGAGCCATGTACGTACGTTTAGACCACCTGGTTGGGATTTGTGCAATTATCATAACCAATGGTTGGCAACGTCGAGTGACGATTCAGAACCGGTCAAAATGGAGTAGATATATTCAATCTTCGTCCTCTTTTAGAGCTTAAGTCCTGAAATCTCATACATTTTCTCCTTTTTATAACTAGGCTTTTTTAATTCTAATGACTCTTACTATTATTGTTGCTCTGGGATTTGTCTTGATCGTTTTATCCCGCTGTGCTAATATGATACAACTTGAATCGCTGCATATGTCCCAGGCTCTACGTTACTTATGAATGAACTTTCCGTCCTACGCCTAACCACGAACACGATTGCAGAGATATTATCTTTGTTCTATGTATGCCTCCCATTAAATCACAAGCATCTACTTTACATGCATGATTAATGATTGAAAACTGACCCTCTGAGTAACAACCTCGTCAAAATCCATCTGACTACTTGCTCTAATTATGAAAGCCGAGTTATTTCAGATTTATGAGCTAAAGAAGCTTTATTTCAATTCGATAAATAACACTTGTTAATTTGGTGGTGTTTCAACCGTAAGTTTATTTGCCACTTGCCTTACCTGACATCGAAGCAGAATATGCAAAGCGATAAACGAATTTCTCGTATTGTTTAAAAATTGGTTCAAAAAGGAACTGATGACTGGGGTAGTAAGAAGTGCGAAAGGGTAGAAATAAAAATATCTTTGAAACCAATCTTAGCAATTTGGTAAATTGACGAGAGACATTGTGAATACGGCTACGTATGTATTGAAGCGCAGCAAACACAGGTAACAACGTTCAATTAGTTCTCCATACAATGATTCAGAAGTCAAAGTGAGCCATTAATTGAAGATCACGACTAACAATTGTCCCTTTGCAGCCAAGGGTTATAAGAAAATCTGAACTTTGAGGAAAGCATTTAACAATGTTTACTTAACACTTGTACGACCCAAACGGGTGTGTAGACTACAAATCCTATTTTGGAATGAGACTTGGATTTACTAGTAATAGTTTAGAGAAAAGACAGATGCGGAACCTCCAAGGTGATAAGGTTGATGTACAGTAAAGCCATTGAATAGTTGCTCTTCCAGTCATACTATTGTAGACTACGTAGATGCCGAACTTTGCTGCAAAGGAATTTATTTGTTTATTTAAACATAAATATTGGTACAAAGGGGTACCAGATATATATGCACCGCACAAATCTCTTTGATTTGTGTGAGGGCTATGATACTGCCCAGGTGCCCAAACTGAAACAGGTGGTTTTCTTAAGGGGCCACACCCGGAGCCTTTGACCTAAAGATCTGATCCACAAGGCAGTGGAACATCGTGAGGAGATGCAGTATCATGGTAGCCAGTGACCAACAATTGCTTTATATACCATTTATTCCTTCGGGATCCTGGAGCCCATGTATATCATTGGTTTGGAATCAGGGTTTTCCAACTCCCCTAGGTGGGCTTTCTGTATCCACCAACCCGGTTAAAGCGCCACACATCCACTTTTCGTCTTCTCAATTTCGTAAACAACACCCTCCGCCACGAGAAGGCAGTGAGTAGGACTTCCCTGGCAAAGGCTATATACGCATGGCCATATGAGAGCATTTCGAGAGGGAGAGCTGACTCTCCCCACTCTCAGCCGTACCAGGGCATTTGGTGGCGCTGCAAAGGGAATGAAAACTGGAATAATTTGTCCTTCATTTTCTTTATAAACAGGTAGAGTTTAGTTGACAGAGAAGAATATCAATGACAAACATCTCATTGAAGTACTTTTCTGCATTAAGCAGTCACATACTGAGTCTACTGGGGTTAGTATTCTGCGCTTTTGGAAAGGATAAGTAGATATTGAATCCAATGGTAATTAATTACAGCTCTCAACTCGAAAAAACTACAACCAATATTATGTCAGCATCATGGAAATAACATATACCAATAGATTTACGGAGTGAAGACAGACTGAAACACCTCAACTTATCTCCGTTATCTCACCGTGAAATACGTGGTGATCTAATATTGTCTTCTTGTACATTGGACGATGACCTTGGTATCGATGTCTTTTTCTTCCGCCTAGGACTGGTCACTTGAGAGGAAATAAGAAGAAAGTTCAAGAACTGAGACCAAATCGTCTATGTCTGAAGTTTCGTTTCTTGCACCGAGTAGTGAATTACAGGAATTCTCTACCAGAACACGTAATATCAGCACCTTCTGTCGATATATTTAAATTGCGATTGAACCTCCACAGTGTTACAAACCGCAAGGATTAATAAACGTCGACAGACCTCCTCTCCTTATTACTGAGGACTGACTCGTATTCAAGATGGAAGTATGAAGTAGGTTAGTCTTGAAAGGATTTGCTGAGATTATATGAAAGTTGAAACTTTTACTGCTCTGTCTCTTATGAACTGAAAGGCTGGTAAAACCCGTATAACTAATTTGGAAAACTGAAGGATTCTGAGGGAAACTTAACAGATTTCAATTGACTGTTAAGGGTCTGTGATAATAAAGTGGCATCCAGCTATAATTTCATTCGTGTGGTAGTAAACCACGTGGAAACGAAAAACAATAACAAGAAAAATGAGTCGTTTTCAAAGTTAAAATATTTACAGACAACGTAATATGTGTGAAAAATAGTGGTAGGAATAAAAGCACAATATATTCTCGTCTTAAGCTTAGGTCTTCAAACAAACATTAGTCAAAAATATTTTCTTACCAGGTAGAACGCGTTTAAACCATAAGCCTACGCGGCTACCTTTTTTCCCAGAAGGATACTTAGACGACATTTACTTCCCACTAACTATTTCCAGTCCAAACCTGGCGCTAAATAAGGTGACTTTATTTTGGAGCGGAAATTTTTACAGTAATTCAGAAAAATAAAACTACGATAACGAATAGCATCTTATTAGTATCCCTTATTTAGTAATCAGTCACAGAGGAACAGTACACTGTCATTCACTTTGTGAGGAATACGTAATGAAGTATAGGATAAAGCTGTATATGTTGCAAATGGACTTTCTTACAACACCACTATTTAATTTCTGAAATAGTCTTCAGGTCCTTTGTATTTTTGTCTTAATGTGAATCTAAGCTCTTAAATGATTCGACTTACAAACTCTATTGGTTTATTTAAACCTGCTTCCACCGAATTTAATCAGCTGACATCTTTACTCGACTCGCCTTGTAGTATAATGCACGCGTCTTTGTACATCGTGATTGATTACATTAACTCATCGACTAGTTCAATGAAGATCTCTTCAAGGTTGTGAATCGGGATCCAGGAAGTATATCTCCGAAATAAGCGGAAATACTAATATGTCTGTTTGTGCAACTTCTTTTTGCGGTCGTAGATTATCTTCATTACAGTAAGGAAAACGATCGTTCCATACTATCAACAAATAATCGACAATTAGCCTGAGATATACCAAACACAACCGAAATTAGCGTGTGTAACCAGAAATTTCACGCATCACATCAAAACTGCAGGAAAACCTATATTATCGAAAGCACACCAACTAGCTCCCCAAAAACTGAGGTTGATCAAAAGCGCATTCAAGCGTATGTTAGGTTTGGGAAGTATTCGGCCGTCAAACAACCTATAGGCATCTCCCTCACACACGGTAACTACAAAGAACAGCAACGATTGGCGTCTAACTGGCGACTCTCGGCGTTTGAATGTGAATACCATTCTTGGTCGTTACACTTTGCCTTACATTCACGATTTGCCAGCCACCTTGAAAAGTACAACTGCTTTTTGAATATCGATTTAGTGAAAGCACATAATCAAATTACTACGGCCTCTGACGACATTCCTAAAACCTCTATCATCACACCTATGAGTTTTCACTCACGCCGTTCGGCCTAAAAAATGTTGCACAAACCTTCCACAGGCCCATCAATGACGTCTTTCGAGGTCTCAACTTCGTACATATGTATGTTATGGCTTTTAGATCATCATCAAAATCCTCACGGTTTTGTTTTACTTCCATCTTAGCGATCGCTATATCACGGCCAAGAGCATATCTCAAGCTTTCGCTCGCCACCGATGTTCCAGAGACTAAAGCCTGAATGCAACTTGACCGAGGTTTGAATCGTAACATTAGCTTTTCAAACTCTTTATTCAAGGTGGTTGAGTCGTCTGAGTAGTCATTGATTCCATAATCCTTGGTAAACTGACCGGAGCTAGAAGTTGTGATGTCTTCTGAATTTTCGTTGGCACCGTAAAGAAAACGTTCTATGAGTGCGACTTTATCTTTAGAAACCCTTGAGATATCTGTTTCTATTGTCTTTGCTTTCAATTATTTGTTGTCCCCAGCCACTTTGGCATTATCACTACCGATTTCTAAGAATTTCACATTATGGCCACCTGCAAGTTCTACAAAATTATCCTCTAATTCCCTTCCTATGTCGAAAGACTCGGCTTCTGAATCCATATTTAGGTTACTAATAATGTGCTCATCGTAATCAACTCCAGGTTCGCGTATTCTAGATGAGTCAGAATCACTGGAAGCATTGCTGGCGCAATATTCAAGTATTACAGTTATAATGTAGGCTTCTTTGGTATCATCAGATTTGAGATGTTGCATATGGTCGTAACCGTCATCCAAAAACACTTCATAGTTAAAATGAATAGGGACTCCTGGCAAAGGTTTCGACAATTCTTTTTCGACCGGCTTTAGTTCACACTGTTTGAAATCCTTTCTGTTAAATTTTTTCATCATAAAAGACCAGCTGATTTGTTAGCGGAAGCGAGATGGGACAAACATAGCAGCTGATGTATTACTAAAATGACCGCCAATACAACCCCTCACTTGGTCCACACTATTAACGTCACAGTTCATTCTGCCGCCATTCAAAGTGAAACGGTTCTGGACAGAATATAGGAACCTTTCACATTACGGGCTTCTGTATCTAGTAAGAGCGGATCACCGGTGCCGCCGGATAAGAAATACCAAGTTGACGGTAATGATTTTAGACCAGATATGAAACGACTAGCGCCACTGACAAATACACCGACTCAGAAAAATCCCACAGAACTACGTTCACTAGTGGGTGCTCTTCAGTACTATTCTCGTCTTATTCCTATTTTTTCTTGTCGTGTCAACGGTTTATTTAATATTTTGACATCCGGTTCATTCAAATGGGGTGAGAAACAAGAGTCATGCTTATGAAGTCTGCCAAAGTTTCTTCAAAGTGATGCTATTCTTCGAACTTACTCACCCAGTGTACATTCTGTATCTATTACTGTGGGTATTGATGCAGTTTTGGAGCACGAAGATAGACTAGTTATTTATGTTTTACACAAATTTACTGTTACTGAACAAGGTTATTCGCAAACTCAACGAGAACTAGCTGTATTTTGGGTTGTTAAAAGGCTTCGTAAATATTTATTTGGAAAGGAGTTTACCATTGTTATTGATCATGAAGCTTTAAAGTTCATTTATCATCCTGAAAAATCCTTAGCACGTTCCTCAGCAGCTATGGTTCAACGATGGAGTATTGCTTTGAGTGCCTATGACTATAAAGTTCAGCACAGGAGTGCTAAACAAACTAAACACGTCGACTACATTTCTCGACAATCATTACAAGATAGACTTGTTAATACCTCAGACTGTTTGTTAGTGCAACATTTAACGGTGAGATGTTCAGATCTCATTAGAGGAACACGTAGATACTTTAGATGTATACGCAGTGTTATACGGAGAGGTTGGAATTTTATTTTATTTACTTATTTGAACATAAATATTGGTGCAAGGGGGGCACCAGATATATATGCGCTACACAAAACAATGAAAAGGGGAAGAGAACGGGATAAGATGCATAAAACAAAAAGTAATGGTAAGGGGAACTGAAGAGTACAACCACAAGACTCTTTCAGTTAAGAAAGTTAGAACCACTCTTTATGAAGAAAGTAAAAGAAGGTTGCAGCATGATCGCCACTGGCTTCTATTCTGAGCCATATCTGATAACGTCTCTAGCCACTGTGTTGCACCATCTCTTGGACCCCAGCCAGGGAGTCGTCAAGGTCCAACAGAAGCTAGCCCTTTGCAGCTTTCTTTCATGCCACGACACCATGTCATAAACTGACCACCTGCCCACTTTCTCCAACCAGTTTCAGCGTCGGCAAATAATGCACGACATGGAATTATCTACGATGCCATTCGTAGAACATGTCCAAGCCACCGAAGTCGGTGTTTCAAGATGTTGACACCATTTGGATTATCGTCTCTGCACCCGAACACACGATGCCGAACCTCTGCATTACTGACATAGTGTTGCCACTGGATGTCAGCAATCCTTCGGAGACAACGATGATCGAACACAGAGTCGTATAACATCCTCAACTCGGAGAGGCCAGGTTTCACAAGCATAGAGCAAAACTGCTCTCACCGACGCGTTGTAGATCCGACCTTTTACGGCCAGACTAACATCACGAAGGCGCCAAAGATGGCCCAGATTGGCATAAGCCGCTCTGGCTTTCATTATACGTGCATAGCTACCTAGATACACGAACTTCTCAACTACTTCGATCTCCTCACCATCCAGTGTGAGTAAAGGATTAGAATCCTGCCAGTCTTGTAGAAGTACTTTGCACTTGGAGGGTGCAAAGCACATGCCGTACCTGCGGACACTGATTACCAACTGATAAAGTGCGAATTGCATGGCTTCAGCATTATCGCACAGTAAGACAATATCATCAGCATACTCAAGGTCGAGAAGTCGTTCTCCAGGCAACAGATCCACACCGCCATTACTTACATCCATCAGAGCTGTTTCCAGGATGTCGTCGATGGCAAAGTTGAAGAGGAATGGTGAGATCGGGCAACCCTCTCTAACCCCACTGCTCGAATGGAACAATGGAAAAAGGTGGTTGTATGCCCTCACTCTGCCTGAGGTGTTCGTATACAGGGCCTTTAAGATGCTAATAAACTTCTCAGGCACACCCTTGTTCAATAGACAATCCCAGAGAACAGTCCTGTCCAACGAATCGAAGGCCGCCTTGATATCAAGAAACACTACGATTGTTGGCCTGCGATAAGTATGACGGTGTTCTAACATTTGGCGGAGGGTGAAGATGTGATCAATGCATCCTCGACCAGAACGAAAACCAGCCTGCTCCTCGCGAGTCAGTCTTTCTCGAGTTCTGGACTACCTACGAAGTATGTCAGAAGCCCATAGTTTGGACGCCATCGGAAGTAGACTTATCCCCCGATAGTTATTGTAGGAACAACGTGAACCCTTTTTAAAGATAGGGACGACTATTGACTCATTCCATGATGTTGGAACACTTTCTTGCTCCCAAACCTTTCCAAACAACACAGTCAATTCCTTAGTCAGAAAGTCACCACCATCTTTGAAAATAGCCGGAGGTAATTCATCTGGGCCTGGTGATTTGTAGCGTTTCAGGAGTTGGAGTTCCTTGCGGACTTCCGCCTCGTTTGGTGGATCAGTCGTCACTGTCCATGGGGGACTGGACAAACTAGTTGATGTTGCCCGAGCAGCAGGCCAGTTGAACTGCCCTTCAAAGAATTCCACCCATCGTTCAAGAAGTCGATGGATGTTAGTGATTAGCATCCTGTCATCCTCGCAGATAGTTTCACTCACACCAGACTTCTTGCTGCCAGTGGCTCGGATGAGTTGGAATAGCTTCCGGCAGTTACCAGATGCAGCTGCTGCTTCCATCTCATTAGCACGCTCCGACCACCAGGCTTCCCGGTCCTTACGCAAGCTTTGCCCGATTTCATTACGTACACACACACAAATAAAATAAATGATTCAGAGTAAATGGAAAAGCCACATAAATATATATGACTAACAAGACCGCAACGCTCAGAGAATAAAGAGAATACAATCTTATAAACTAG